TTGTGGGAAAGGTGGCTATCCAGTTACATTTAAAAAAGGGTTATGTACAACTAAGCGACTAAGCGAAACGTACGAAATATAATTCGATATTGTAAAAATATTCTTGTATCGAAGAAGCGACCAGCGCGTGCAATTCCTGATACCCGATTATCTTCTCCATTTCTTTTTCTTCTGGTCTCACAGGCACAACCAGATCTTCAGTACCACAATATATTCTGCCAAGTGGGATACACGTCGTCAACCCGCTTAACAACGTAATATCCATAGAGTGGAAAATATAACCAATTATCACCAACTGAGCTCAAGCCCCAAATGTCAACATCACCACTCCGATAATTACCTTATCAAACAAGGGGAGCAGGGCTGACTAGACGCCGATACATGCACCGCTCGTTAGTGACGGTTCACACCAGGACTCTCCCTCCCTCCCAATATTTACTAGTGTTTTAAATCGGGGAAAGCACCCAGGTGCCAAGTAATCCAAGACTGAGTCATTAATGTTTCAAACTAAGACTTACTTTTTCCATGAAGCGAATTAGTATGTATGTCAAGTGAATGGTACCAGCTTCAGACATATTATAAATCTTGAATATCACTATTGCAATATTCAAAACAAACATCATGTCACTATATTGAACATGCACTACCTGACTGACGAAATCCTCATAAAACAGCACGTGTCATGTTTTACATGCAGAAAGCCTACATGCTTTCATAAAGAAACTTTATGTAATTTGTTTTTAGTAAGGTAAGACAATGACATATCGAACATGCATCATATTGATAAATTGTATAGCTTAAATCATATACAATGTATGATCTTGTTCGAGTAAAGCCCAAGGAAAGACATGCAGCCTATACCGACATCTTGACTTTATGGGATAGGCTACACGAACTTAATGTTTAAACTAAACTAAAATGTTGATGACATGTGTAATATCAACCGAAACCTCATTAAAAGTGTGAAGGAAATAAAAAAACTATTATCTTGAATTTATTTCAATTTATATATTAGTAAGACTTTATCAAGTAGGTAAACTCTTAAATGCAACACCTTAACAATTGGTGTATATTTTTAATGTTTGTCTTATCAATCCATGTGGTACAATTTAACTAACGGTACGTGTCTGCATATTGTGCAAACCACACTTTGATCACATAAATCCGTACCAGTTCCCGACAACTGATAATATCTCAAAACAGAGTATTTTTAAACGCAGAACATATGGCTTTGCAATGAAAGGAATTTAAAGATTCATAAAAACAGATTAAAGTATAAAAGTACAAGAGATATGTTTGAGGTGGCATGTGCACTATTCACATCTGTTAATTCGCTTGGTGTTTAACAAGTGGTGCGAACACAGACAATAACAAACAACCTTTTACATAACTGCAATACTTGCCTGTATTCGCATTAGTCTGAATATGTACTTCGTGGAGACGAACCCGAAAACCATAGGATATATCGAAACCCGTAAATGGCCGCTTTACATGTATTTCTTTTTTGGTTTGAATACAAAAGGAGGTATGTAGAATGGTGGCGATTGGGTGGCCTCGGATCAGAACGCGCGTGGCACTGACTTCCGCCTGATTAACTCTCTATATGTATAGTCTACACTCGATCAGTATTGTTAAGTAATGGTCACTGTTTCCTGGACAATTGGGGACCTAGTTTGACATACATCAGGTGTTGAGGATCTGCTAAATCAAATTAGACACCACATGACGCTTTACACGACCGCCATCTGAGATTTAAGACACCCTTGAAGTGGATACTGGTGGATATAGTTGGTGACAGCCGGCGGACAATGCGCCCTGATACATACACTCCTTAACAGTGTTACATTTCATACTTTCAACAAACAATATACATATTATGCAGCACTTTAGAATTCAACGCTAAAATGAAAAAAAAGAGTTATAATCATCAAAGAGACATTAATTGTGTGAAATATTACACATCTTCAAAGAACTTTATGTTCCCTTTAAATCCCTTAAACATTTTTCTAACTTATGGTTGGTTTGCCTTTAAAATTTATTAGATAAGTTAAACAACCAGAGGGGCTGTCAAGTAACATATGGGTGAACACCAATTAAAAGAATAAAAAAATAAAAGTGTGTGATTAACGATACAAAAGTATTCCTTCCAAAGTATTCCTCCGGTGATAAATTATATACAGGAGATCACTCACTGTCCACTAGCATTATGGTAAACAATAAAAAAAACAAGCTCATTAGTTCAAATGATATTTCTACTTTTGTTGTGTTCGTCACGAGAACGTTTGTGAGATATCTTATGAAGAATGTATACAATTATCTGTAGACATAAGGTGATATTTCATTAAATTTATGCAACGTTCTATATATGCATTGATCTGATTACTTTTATTTGTTTAGCAGATACTGATGACCTATTTATGAGGGGTCAAAATGAACGATCTCACGTAGCGCCGTCATATCAGTAGCGGGTTAAAAAGCATCGCATCAGCATTAAAAGTTAAATCGAAATGGTAAATTGTTTTGCGAAGTACAAAGCAGTGCAATGGACGAACATTCAATTTCCACACTACCAAAGATGGGTATATCGTTTTGTCTGGCCGAGGCAGTCAAGCACAAACACCAGGGTAGTGGTGTCGGTTATACCAATGTGTATCATACTGAAGGTAGTTAGAAATCATAATGTGCTATTGTGTACTGTATATATGTATTAGAAGCTGGTGCCCGTTAAAGATCCGTCACAATTTACTAGGGTAGAGTTACCCACACTGTGTCGTACAAAACGAACCTGTGATATAGAAGCAGTAGGTTCTATCTCGAATAGTGATAGATCTCTCTCCTCTTAACAGAATGATTAAGCAAAAAAGATATCACAGCCACATTCCGAACGCTTTGAAAATGTGGGATAAAGTTATGAAATAAATCGAATTCAATTTGTTCACTTGATTGAAGGATAAACTTCATAAAATCAGCGCAGTATTTTGTATAGCATAAATCTTTTTAAACGAGTTTATGTCAATTTTGCATGGTATTATGCACCCGTTTGGGAGTAAATCTATACCGCGAAGCCTTTTTTCGCCTTGCTAATGTTCCATTCTACTCATGTTTACACCTGGTATTCCATATATTTACGGTTGTATATGCCAAAGATATCTAATACGATAAAACTTCATAATTTTTAAATAAAACATACTGTAATTCCATATGTGTTTTATGTCTTTTTGAACTGACCAAGCAATCATGAGGAAGGTGTCTATACCCTAATTAAATTTCACAAAATTCACAGTGGCATACCCACTATAAAAAGGAAAGTGTATTTCCGTAAAAATAAGGGGTCAATAAATAAATGAACAACAAGCTGTGATGTTGAAATCAAGTAAAACATACATTCGAGAAGAAAAATCCACGGGAGATATTTTATTCATAATAAATAACTTTAATTCCCATGCCGTTTTACATAAAATCGTTATTGGTGTCTGAATAGTCCAACCATGAACTATTAGTGTTATCTGATATAAATGATTTATATAGTACGGTATATTTAAATGTATCACCCACAACGAAGACAGATATTCGCCCCCAAACATATCTCAGTACTGACAATAAATAGCTTTATATCTACATCTATCAGAAGTCTATCCGTTCTATAGGTACAAGGTACTTCCTATGTCGCACCTCTGTTAGTAATCTGTATGGACAGTCCTCCCCTTTACGATGAAACAACCACCTTGTTATGCCGTGGGTGTAGCCTCGGCCGTTTATCTGGGTAAGGGCAGAGGATGTAGGTGACTGAAATGGGACATTTAATGTTATTCATTGATTGAAATAAACACTGACACAACGTTTCATTTTAAGTGTGATTAACGTTAAATGTTTTCTCTTTATAAAGTATCGCCTTTATTGAGATTTTTAACCGGTAATAGTTTTCCTAACCCGTTTGTATTTCCCAAAAGCCAAAAGGAAATCGCGTTATCAATCATTCGTGACTCCCCGATAGCCAATGATAAATCCTGAAAAATATGCCACCTCTCCGCATTTTATTAAGGGTTATATATATATGTATGTTTATAAAGTTGCGCAAAAAGAACGAAGATAATATCTCTAACCTCATAAAGCAATGTTTAACCAAAATTAGTGTATTTTGTGCTTCTTAAACACATGAGTGCTTGAAATACACAGTTTATAAAGAAGTCGAAATCAAAACTAATTGATTTAAGTGAAGTGTATGTTAAAGTGAATACATGTATGACACGTTAATAACGAATCAACCCCAATAACTAGCTCTCCATAAGGCAATACAAGATGTTCAGTCAAATAAAGACACTTCGTTGTCAGGGAATTGAATAAATTAATAAACTTTGCTATTGATCAAGAATTTGCAGTAAGCGTGTTGGTAAATAACCTGATACAGCAACCAAAGGGAATTTGTCAGTTTAATGTTCTAAATAATATGTAGGAAAACACTTCACATGTACCTGTACCTGCAAGAAGTTTCACCAGTCCTAGATAGTTTTAATTTGTTTATGACAATTTTACATAGTTAAGTAACCTTGCGCGTATTCACTATGTATACTGTTGTTTCCTGATACATCAAAATGTAGGCGAAATAGAATATCCCATAAGAATATCCAATATGTTAGATTATGATATTTGTCATTCTCATGAGTTAATTATAACGTTAACGTTTAAGCTCGCAGGTTAACATGAGCATCGGTAACCCATTTTAATATTTAATATATATTATCACTTATCCTCTATAAATAAAAAATAATATACAAGAAGCTAGAACAAGAAAGCGACTATTATCAATGCAGCTTATGTACACATTTTGTGTCGTTATGTTTTCGCTAAATCATTTCAAACAATTCGTAAAAGGTCAAAACGTTTATACAGACTCAGATGAAAGAATATTATCTTCAAAGAGGAATACACACGTTCACTTCGATCACGGAGTATATTTAGTCAAGGTTCATACCACCCCTAAGTTTTATACCAATACATACCTTGCACTGCCGCACTTACGGCAGTCTGAAGTAGACATGCGATCACGACTACTCGGACAAGCATGATGCAAATACCAAATAACAATTAGCAGTATTACAAAACGGACGTCTGTGTTTCCTATATGTAGAGGTATGTCACATCGACGGCAAAATACTGATTAGTAATACAACGTGGTGTCATGAGAAACAACAGGTGTTATGAGCTAGGTAAACACGCTAAAGGTGTGTGTCGTCAGATCTTGTTCCAGTATAACGTACATACATATTTAGATCGTAGTGATACGAAATATCAAGATATTTGTTTTTCCTTCAACTAATTAGATAATCTTAATTCTTTTAACAGAAATTACATGAATGTATTAATCAACAATTTTCCTAAATCACATTTTGAATGCTGGTGTATACATTCAAAAAAGGCTTACAGTTAAGACATTGTCAACGATTTCATTCCAAACCTAATAGTCATTCAGCCTTTTTTCATCGAAAAAGATAGATTACATGAGAAACGAATAGGCATCGTGTGTCTTCATCTTTAACCCTTTCACCCCTATGTAACTTAAGTAGACTCTACTGTGCATTGATCTGGAGTAGTCCATTATGGTCTGCAGGGGTGAAAGGGTTAAATACGTGATGTATCTGTATGCAAGACTGTGTAAGAGACAACACTACTGATCAATCGTATTCTTATCAGTGACAAGCAGGCCGGCGTTACATGTATTTCGAAGAACACTCTCTCTATTTGTCTTTGAATGGAGTTCAAACGATTGGTCAAAATCACTTTCAGTTAATGATTGAATAAACATATCAATTTTCTGTCAATGTCAGTGCTTCATAACCACTGAATTTGTGATTTTTTTTTTTATCTGAATGTGTTTTTTATCTATAAAAAGTACTACGAACTTTGTAATTAGAAAATTTCAAGGACGAGAGTTGCCGTCAAAATTCAGCACAATATATGACGTCATAAATATCATTTCAAACACAATTAATAGTAAGGTGTAATAAAATTGGTAATTCCTTTTCTTACTCCAGTTAAGACCTTCGCCGACAGATAAATTACTGCATTTGCTTAAATATATGCTACTTAAACATTAGGTATTGTATAGCAGGTAGATTATCACCTTATATATATAAGTAGGATTAAAAACGTGAATGAGGCTTAAGGGGTAAACAATATGTCAACGACATCCACATGTTATCTGCATTTGCCATTCTATCATTACAGAATGGATATGACACAATGCACATGCGTCTTTGCTAACATAATACGACCATTTCCCACTGTTATACGGTGCATGCTCAGTGACAGACCACTGCACACCGAGTGTTGACTGCATCATGATTGACCACCACAATACCCCTATACACTTTCCCATTAGTATAGTGTTGCAACTTGAGCAATGAATTGTTGCATCTGGTAAATGGTTTCAACTCACACTGGTTTATGAATTGGAGTAAGGTCCAGTCTGGTACAGCGTTTCAGAAATCAATTACGGTTTTAAAACACATAATCGTCCCTTTTCTAACGGCCCGCCCCCTTTTTAATGTGGCCACATGGTTATGTTAGGTGTTCTGTAAACTTACCGGGCGTGCTCAGTCAACTCTGGGGGTTATATCAACATTGACTAAGTATAACTTCCAATTTCTAGCCGTTTCAATATACCTGCGTCATTTTATAGAGAAGACATTGCCTTCCAAATAGGAACCTCTCAAAGAACTCTTTATCGACGTTTTAATTTACTAGGACAATGTAAGTGGGTAAAAGTACGACTGTGTTGACATATGAAAGCATTCTGCACCATCATCCACCCAAAGCAAAATAGTCAGTGTTAAAGTATATCTGGCATGGCTTTTGCAAATTTTATGTTAGATTTGTTGCCTTGTTAAATATAAAATTGATATTAAATACTTCGATGAACTGACATCAACCAATATCAATGGGAGTTAATCATCCCTCACTCGTGCGAACGGAATTGTAATGGAGAAAGATCGTTTGAAACTGAAGCGTACGCATCAAAAGTACATGTAATTTAGTAATGGAACAACGTCGTTGTGCTAACATTAACTACATCGCAATAATTTTAACCACTGTGTACACTTACATGTATCTCTGGCATTTCTCTTCTTTACCACATGGAAGACACTTACCACTTACATGGGAGGAATTATTTCTCTTTCTCACCCTCTCGAGTTCCCCCTGTGACTCCATCTCTCCATACCCTCTTCCTCTTTCCCTCACTCTCTCTCTCTCTCTTTCGTCATCTTCTTTCTCTCTCCACCTATTTGTCCCACTCCTCTATCACACCTTTGTTATCCCTCTCCTACCACCTCCCCTCCCTGTCATCTCTTTCTCTATCCCTCTGGCCACTTTTCCCTCTTTCCTCTAACCCGCTCTCTCCAAAACAGGGCATTTAACTATCGCAGACATCATAGTCATTAATAGTTTACGCTAAAATGAACGTACATCTTAATTCATGCATATGCATTCGCCTATTTGAAACGCATATATTTAATTCCCTTATATGTCTGCAACAAAACATAATCGTTGGGAGTTAGATGAAAATAATACATTTGTATTGCCCCAGCTCAGCGATATGATAGAGTACAAGGTCTGGCTCTCCACCAACTTCAGTAGTGGATACGATATATGTGTACGGTAGATAAACCCGTCTTGAAAACATACAAATCTATGTCACAGTATTTACACATTCTCACTCAGTGAAGTCCCGGTCAATTCTGACACAGTCGAGGGTTGTCCTTACCTTCATATCAATAATGAAGATAACATCACACAAGTTTTAATTCACATGATACGTAGGTTCATTCGTACAGCCGGTAAATGCTAATGTTTATCAATATAGATGTGTCTATGGCTAGTGCCTAGTGTTCGTACATAAGTCCAGTTTTGCCCTAAAAGGACTTTATATAAGTGTATACGTACTGGATTTTTGAATGAACATATCTTGCTTATACAAATATTCAAAACAATACGAGATTGTTGTAAACACTTTAAAGCAAGTGTTTATGTTAGGACCAATATTGTGCCAGAATGATTTAAGAGTATGAATTGTTTATTTAATGCCAGATTATCGTAAGCAAATTTAATACACCATAGGTACAGACACGTCTTAGTGATTTTCGTCATAATGCTATGTGAAATGTATTAATTGCACTTATGACACATTGTATACCACGAATATTTGTACTTGTTGATAACATATAATACAAGATGGCATTCGGGTTCAGTTTTTTATTTAAAGGTGTAGAGATTGATATTGACTCTATACTGCAAAGTTTCAAACTCGCGCATTTGACAAGATTATTGTGTTTGTTTACAGTCAGTGATATAATAAATGATATAACGAAATAATATTGCCGTTTTCATTTTTAAACGAATGAGAAACGGAACAATTTGTTTTAAACCAAGAGTAACATCAGTCCTGATGTCGTGAAATGTGCATCGGAGTTTGTATTATTGCATTGTATCATTGCAAATATCCTTGTTAAATTATTGTTTATGGCACAAATAAATTTGTGTCTATTGCTGCTTAAGACGAATTCTGTATATTTATATTTTATTATATATTATATATTTTGCCATTCCTCTGAAATAGAGTGACAATTTGTACTTTCATTCCTATGTGAAATTTAAATAATTAGAAACATTAATGAGTGGAAGATGAAATTGATTCAATATCATAAGTGGCAAACCATCTTTATAAATCAGGAGCTATTCCAGTCAACGTAATTTTAAGACCTAAAGAAAAATAAAACAGATAAGGTGACGAAACAGATATGGATGAAGATTATGAGTGAATTCTGAATTCAAACAAGGTGTTCTGAATCTAAGATTTCATTTTTGAATGTGTGTTATTTTGTTGAGTAAAGATTACATATTTACCATTATAGTTATAATGTTGTGTTTTGCAACTTTTTTATGAAATAAGTACACATTATTTTCATTATAGATGGTGCTGTTTGATTTAACCAAAGTATAATGTTCACATTAGACATTGTGTCAAATCAGACTTACAGACAATTAATCCGCATTTTTCATTGAGATTCAGTCATGCCAAAAGGCATTTCAGCGGGTTTTAATCGATTGATTGATTATCGCAGATGATTCAAACAAATCAGTAGCTTAATTGAAACATATAACGAAAATCAAGTTTGTTTAAGTTTCACATTGTGTATAAAAGTACGATCTGACGAAATGCAAGTCTTTAAAAACGTTTTCTCGAAAACAACAACAACAACAACAACATGTGGTCGCAATCAATCTATACTATAAATATAACTGAAACAACCAATAATTACAAATAATATAAAGAACCTCATATTCCTATTTACCGTAATCGCACGCAGCACACGCGTGCCAACTTAGATACCAATTTTATAAAGATAACGTTTCCTAAAAGCCGGTAGGATTCGAACCTGGAACTAAATATCACTAGTTCAGTGCTTTACTGAATAGGCCAAAAGTTAATTACTTTAAGATAAGTCAGTAACAAGGAACTAGGTGATTCATTAATGTGAGAAAAGATTATACACAATATTTGAAATTAGATATTATCACTTGGGCGATAACATGATTGTACATTTTTCTGAAATAGCACATTACATGCTGTATACTAACGTCTATTATTTCCACGAGGTTATAGCAGTCACTTATGCAGATACCAATACACTGTATCAACGCCGAGTTAACAAGATGTATCGAGAAATGAAAAAGTATAAATGATATCATAAATTATCATGATCTATAAATCTATATATCTTATATACCGATTTGTGTAGACGGGATGCAATCTTCAAGCGTGTGATGTATACGATATACATCAAACTGTTAGCGTATTGCAACACATGTATATAACTAAACGTATTTTCCAGAGTTAATTTATCACAATACTATCAGCCTTAAAAGCACTTGAACGCGCTCATATATAATTGACATTGCATAAAAACATACAGGAAATCGTAGATATTGTTCATATCTGATCAAGTAAACATCTGCCTACCGATTATACAAGTAGGAGCTAGCCATATCCGGTAAAGCTTAGAAGAGCATGTTATTCTGTGCCTAACAATGACGGGGGTCAAACATAGCGAAATGCAAATGTTGATTATTATTTTCTCGACATCAGACTTCATGTATTGGGACATTATAATTA